AGCCCACGTCAAATACCAAGCGGCCCTCACACTTGAACTGAGAAGCTTCGAGCGTGTCGGGCAACCGTGTCAGAGAGCGCCGTTGAGTACCCACCAAGCCTACCAGGTCGTAGTTGGGGGTGCCGTAGACCAGTTGCCGAGAGCGGGTTATACAGCAGGGTGCGCCACACTCTGGTCGCCATCCGTCGCGTGCCCCAGCAGGGGCCGAACCGACATTCAGCGTGGGCGAGCACCTTGGTGCGTGAATGTGGCTGTAGTGCCTGGTCGCCTGCAAAGAATGCTAGGGCCAGACGGCGACTGACTCGAAGACCTCGCGCTCAAAGGTCTCCCTGTCCAGGCCCGAGGTGGTCTGGAGCACCTTCAGAATCGCACCCATTTCGTCTGGGTTGCTGGCGAGGTGCTTCAGCGTGGCGGGCGCGAGGGTCACGTCAACCATTGACGTCGAGAGCGCCGTCGGGTCGACGAGCTGCACCTGGGCCAGGAGAGCGGCGCGGAGGCGCTCAGTCGAGAAGACGTAGCCCAGCTTCGCCGCGGCCGAATGCGCAGACACTGCCTTCAAGGCTATCGAGGTCTCCCGCCGCATGGCCGAGAGGCCCTTCAGGCCTGGCGCTCCCACCAGCTTCAGGGCTCAAGGCAGCTTCGCGATGGCGTACTCATCGACGGCGGCGGAAAACACCGCTGTTGTCGCTGCGTGGCGGGACTGTGCCAGCTGGGTGCCCAAGACCGTCACCTCTCGCGGCCCGGCACTCCAGGAAGCCCCACTCGGCGCTGCCATCGCGGCGGGGGCCCGCGCTAGGGCGCCGCAGGCTCAGCGTGAGTCTTGCCCAAGGCCGCTCTTTGCTTGGCGACTACGACTACGACTACGACTACGACTACGACTACGACTACGACTACTACTACTACTACTACTACTACTACTACTACTACTACTACTACTACTACTACTACTACTACTACTACTACTACTACTACTACTACTCATCCTCTCGCTTCGGCTCCTCCTGCTTCTCCTGCTTCTCCTCCTCCCATCCCCCTCCTCGTCCCCCCTTCGGCTTCTTCCGAAAATCCTCTTGTCATTGCTACACACCGCCCCTTTCATGGATAATCCCACCAAAACCGAACACCAGACTCTCGAGTAACCCTATGAAACAGAGCCCAACCGCGAATATCCCACCCAACACGCTTCCCATGTAGCTACCCCAGCAGACCTTTCCGTTTCCGTTTCCACTCGTCGACTCGCTTCTCGGGTTGGGAAATTAACCCTCCTCCTCCTCCCTCCTCCCTACTCTTCCGTAGCCATGTTGGCTCAAGCCATTGTGGCTCAAGCAGCCCACAACGGGCCTCCCCCTTGGCTCGAGCTGGCTAGGCATGTGCGTCCGAGTCAGTGCAGGTGCTGCTGGTGGAGACCTTGCGGCTTGAGAATGGCGCGGGAAGTGTTGCAGGGCGCGGCGGGTGCGCGAACCTCCGCAGACTGGAGGGTGTTCAAATTGAAGGGAGAGCTGCAGGCCTCCCGCGAGCAATACTCGCAAGTCTTCGAGTTGCTGGCTAGTTTCGACGCGGAGACCGAGATCGTGGAACGCACCCTCGCGGTCGTGCCGGACTTGCAGGCGAAGGTGCGCACCGGCCGTGGCTGTGGTGTCAGCACCTTGCGCCGCAATGTGGCCCTGCACGCGAAAGCGGAGGGCAAGTCGCTGCTCACCGCATCGGTCCAGGAGCGCAGGGTTGCCCAGAACAGCCCAGGGATGGGGCAGGAGGCTGGGTCGGCCATTGCGCCGCCCGTGGCAGCGCCGACGAGACTGCACGCGGACGCCAAGGCTTTCGTCCCTGCTGCGGAAGAGTGACGGCCGCTGCACAGCCGGGAGCCACCCGCACCGCAGACCGAGCAGGACGGCGGGCTTGCGCTGTTCCTGCGGAGCAGTGGCGTTCTCGGGCGAGCCAGCTCCTTGCCGTGGCGGCCGCTGCAGCGAGGAGCCCCGCCACCCCGAGAGCGACATAGCTGCACGAACCCCACAGGAGGCACTGCTCGAGAGTCTCGGCGGGTGGGACCATAGGGGCGCTGATCCCCAAGACCCCCCAGTGCCAGTCCGCAAGCGGAGGCAGTGCTAGAGAACGTGCTCGAGAGGATGGACTCCGCGGTGCAGGCTTTCATCGAGGTGGAGGGAGTTCCAAGGGCGACGGCAGCCGTTTGCGCAGCATCGCAAGAAGATCGATGCGAACTCGGCCACGGATCGGTCCGATGCTGGTGCCTGCCAGGAGTGGCAGGCCAACTGGTCAGCAAGGCAAGGGCGCGGCCTCTGAAGGATGCCGACGGGCTCCGAAGACCCCCGACAGTTCGTAATCGAGTTGCTGCCGTGGGCACTGGACCAGCGGTTGATTGGTCAGCCGTCGGCTCCAAGCTCGAAAATCGTCCATGGGGAACCGTATCGGCCCCAGGAGAATGCAAGCAGAGTTGAGCAGAGTTGAGTGTTCATGGTACACAAGTGAGTCCCTGTAACTTGGGTGGCAGGATGCTGGCACGCATTTCCAAGCTTAGTTCGATTCGGGTTCCTTCTATGTGTGTTGTACTGTTTGGCTTTACGTTCAACGTCATGCTAAGTCGTACGTACCTCTTCGTCGCGTGGCTCGTGCTCTGGGGGCTGGAAGAAGCAGGTCAGCAGGCAGGTAAGACATCGTAACAGGACTCGCCCACTCACTCACTCACAAACTCACTCACTCATTCCCTCACTCACTCACCCACCCACCCACTCACTCACTCACTCACTCACTCACTCACTCACTCCTTCCACCTCCTCCCTCCCCCCCCCCCCTCCCACCGCCCTCCTCCCTCCTCCCTCCTCCTCCTCCTCCTCCTCCTCCTCCTGCTCCTCCTGCTCCTCCTCCTCCTGCTCCTCCTCCTTCTCCTCCTCCTCCTCCATCCTCCTTCCTTGCAAATTACCCTCCCTGTCGGTAGGGCGGGCTGGGCGTTTCGCCTGACTTCCTCACTTATGATCCTGAAGCTTGAAATTCGCAACAGCTTCACGGAAGGAGGGCGGGCCGTGCTCAGGATGTTGTTCTCGTCTGAGCGCCACGCACAGTCGCTTTAGCAAGTTACAGCAGCTTCACGGATGAAGGGCGGATGTTGTTCAAAATGCGGCTCTCGCCATAGCGTCGCGCACATTCGTCTGAAAAGCTCGCAACTGTTTCATGGGGGGCGGGTGGTTTTCAAAATGCTGCTCTCGCCTCAGTGCCGCGCACATTCGTCTTAAAGTACGCAACAGCTTCACGGAAGGAGGTCGATTATGTTCAAAATGTTGTTCTCTCTCCAGCGCCGCGCACACTCATTTGAAGAATTGCCAACAAATTCGACAAGTCGTACGGCCGGAAGTCACAGAAGTTTTTTATGGCATGATTGGGGATTGTCAGGACCTAACAATCTCGCTACTTCGCGCCATTAAAATCCCAACAACGGCGTTCTGGCACGATGTCGGATTGTCTGGACGCAACAAGCACGTTATCGGCGCGGAAGTTCCAGAAACTGTGGTTTGGAACGGTTGAAGATTCTCAGGCGGTTGTCTTCTAATGGGCCGCTTCCCGCGATGACAGCAAATTCCCTTAGAAACCGATTGAAAGGGAGCTTGTCCCGCCCTAGCACCGCGCACATTCGTTTTCAAAAAATGTCAGATTTTCACGGATTAAGGGCGAGTGGTTTTCAAAATGTGGCTCTCGCATTAGCGCCGCGCACATTCGCATTACAACTTGCAAGAGTTTCACGGATTGAAGGCGGTTCCTTTTCAAAATGTGGCTCTCGCCTCACCGCCGCGCACATTCGACTTAAAAATGTGCCAGAGCTTCTCGCATTGAGGGCAGCTCATGTTCAAAATGTGACTCCCGCCTTAGTGCCTCGCGCATTCGCTTCACAAGATTATGATAATGTCGCTGGATTGCATGACTAACGTACCAATCATTGTGTGTGGGAATAATTCAGGCCTGTCAGGGCGCAACAGTTACGTTGAATCGCGGTGTTGAAGTCCCAGGAATGGCGTTCTGGCACCATTCAAGATCGTCAAGACGAAACAATCTGGTTGACTCGTGGCGTGGAACTCCTGGGAATAGTGTTTTGGCACGCCCCCGAATTCTCGCACGGTTGTCCCCGAACGGGGCACTCCCCTCAGTGGAAATGAACCCAGGGCTGGGCCTGAACGTTGTTTTCCATGTTGTTTCCGTGTTGTTATTCGTTATGCTCGACATGTTTTCCGGCACCTCCCTGCCAAAACGAAAAACCAAACACAGCCGAAGTCCAGCAAAACAGCGTTTAAGTCCAGCCCTGAATGAACCCCTGTAGGGGCATATGAGGAGTGAGCTTGGAAGAAGGGTGTATTACAATATCGTTGTTGAGTCTTAGGCTTACACCGAATCTCCTCCTCCTTCCCGCTCCTGGCCTCCTCCTCCTACTACTACTCCTCCTCCTCCGCCTCCTCCTCCCATTCCTCGCCCTCCTCCTCCTCCTCCTCCTCCTCCTCCTCCGCCTCCTCCTCCTCCTTCTCCTGCTCTTCCACCGCTCCTCCTCCTCCTCCTCCTCCTCCTCTCCTGCTCCTGCTCCTCCTCCTCCTCCTCCTCCTCCTCCTCCTCCTCCACCTCCACCTCCTCCTCCTCCTCCTCCTCCTCCTCCTCCCTCCTCCTCCTCCTCCTTTTTCTTCTCCTCATCCTCCTCCTCCTCGTCCTCCTCCTCCTCTCCTCCTCCTCCTCCTCTCCTCCTCCTCCTCCTCCTCCTCCTCCTCCTTCTCCTCTCCCCTCTTCTTCTCCTTTTGCTCCTCCTCCTCCTCCTCCTCCTCCTCTTCCTCCTCCTCCTCCTCACCTCCTCCTCCTCCTCCTCCTCCTCCTCCTCCTCCTCCACCTCCTCCTCCTCCTCCTCATCCCCCTCCTCCTCCTCCTCCTCCTCCTCCTCCTCCTCCTCCTCCTCCTCCACCTCCTCCTCCTCCTCCTCGAAAGACCCATGCAGCCCCGGGCGGGCGCCCCGCCGCCTGCACCACACACGCTGGCAGGGGGCCAGCACGGCCCGCGCCGGGGTCTTGGGGCCTCTTCGCGGGCGGGGCGGCGCCGCGGCGGAGCGTTCTTCGCACGGGGAAGGGGAGGAGGAGGAGGTGGAGGAGGAGGAGGAGGAGGAGGAGGAGGAGGAGGAGAAGGAAAAGGAAAAGGAAAAGGAGGAGAAGGAGGAGGAGAAAGAGAAAGAGAAAGAGGAGGAGAAAAGGAGCAGCAGGAGGATATGGAGCCGCAGCAGAAGGAGGAGAGGAAAGGGAGGAGAGGAAGAGGAGGAGGAGGAGGAGGAGGAGGAGGAGGAGGAGGAGGAGGAGGAGGAGGAGGGGCTGGCTCCCCAGCTCGGCCAGCCCCCCGCGCAGCTGGCCCTATAGCACTTTATAAGCGCGGGCCCTGACGCGGCGCGCCCCGCTCCTCCTAGACATGCTCGCGGAGGGTCCCCTCCCCTCGAGGGGGTCAAGGTTTCCTGGCGTGTCGGTCGGGTCCCAAAAATCTTCCACGTTCGGGACGTTTTCTCTTACAGCTGCGTCTCGCCGAAGGCGCTCCGGAGCTGTCCGGGCCGTCCCCATCGGGCGCGGGAGACCCGAGCTGTGACCCAAAAGCCAAGCATGCTCGCGTCGCGTCGAAAAGTACGACGGCCCTCGCCTGTTCTTTCGTCCCCCATCGTGTCCTGCTTTTTCCTGGGTCTGAGAGCAGCCGCCGTGGGGCCGAAAAATGGCTGGGAAAGCTCCGCCCCGGCTGCGTCCAAGAGGGCAGGGCGTCCAAGAGGGAGGCTCGCAACTCATGGCCCGAGACACGGTGCGGACGAGGGCCGACACGACCTCGCTCTCTATACCTCGGTCCGGCCGCGTTGGCATAAACCGCATGTTTCTGATATATCGGTGAGGCCAGCGTGCACTCGCAGTGCGATGGGCAAGAAGTGAAACAAACAAAGCATGGACATTCGTGATAGTCCCTCTGCCCCGCCGAGAGGAAAACAGAGGGCAGTCAGCGTCGCCCCTGCCGTCTCCCAACTTCGCGCAAAACCTCACATGTCCGCCGGCGGCGGCGGCGGCTAAGACGACGACGACGACGACGACGACGACGACGACGACGACGACGACGACGACGACGAGGACGACAACGATGCTGAACATGCGCGCTCAGCGGGACGCGGACGTCCTGAAGAAGCCCCTTTTCCTCGCGCGGGCCGTCGACAGGTCTGCACCGACGATGAGCGTCAAGGACGCCGCCAAGATGATGAACTGTGCCAACCCGAAGAACACCAGTGGCATGCACGGACTGCTCCCTGCGCACGTGGGCATGCGGATCCGGTTCCTGGAAGCGCTCGACCTCAAGAACGGCCTCGTCAAGGATGCCGAGGGGCAGATCGTGCACGTCGTCGTGGACCCTCGGGATCGGGACGACATCGAGAAAGCCGAGAGAGACGGGGAGAAGAGGATCTACCTGAAGCGCTTGCCGCTGGGGTTCTCAGCGCGCATGGAGAAGTACGCGAGCGCGCCCTTCGTGGACGACCTGAAGCGCCGCGACGACAGCCTCACGGGGGACCTCGCGGGCCCGCTGGTGTTCATCGAGCTCCGCACGTCGGAACCGTTCACCTCCCGCACCTCCAAGGTCACCCGGGCGGGCTTCCCGCTCTCGCACGGCAGGGCCATCACCGCGGTGGCGTGCCAGGGGCGCACCATGCGAGAAGGCGACGGGGCGGGGGAACAACGGCGCTCCGGGGACGGCCAGACCTCCGGGCGCGAGCAGTCCGCAGCCATCCTCCTGTCCTGTGGACTCTCGCCCTGGGCCGTCGGCTGCCCAGCGCACTGCCCCCTCAGCCGACGTCGCCCAGGCGTGATCCTGGACTGCGGCCGCCACGAGGTCGGGAACGGCAAGAAGGAGGACGACGACTGGTGGCTGGAGCTCTACGCGCTGCTCTCGCGCGCCACGCGCCACGAGGACCTCCTGCCCACGCGGGCGCCGCGCATCGAATTCTTCCTGGCCAGGCCGCCAGAGGGCTCGCGTAAGCAGCTGGAGCAGCTTGCGGCGCGCACGAAGCGGCGCAGGAGGGAAGCCACGGCCCTCGCCAGTGAAGCTCGGTTTCTATCTGCGAGGCGCGACCTGAGGAGCGGCCCGCCACAGCCGCGCCTTCTCTCGGCTGTCCAACTGTTTGGCCTCGCGCCGCGGACGCCCTGCGCGCGTCGCTGGGACACTCTCGGGGCGATCAACGCGCGTCGCGCGAACTCCACGCCGCGCGCTGTCCAGCGTTTCGCTCGCCCGTCGTCGCTCCGCCCGGCGGCCAGAGCCATGCGCGCTATCAGTTAGCCAGCATGCAGTCTCTGTTCCACACGGCGTACGAACCGCGCGCGTCTCTGTGACCCCTTCGGGGCGACCTGCGCGCGTCGCGAGGGTTCCGCCTTGCGCTGCGCCCGCAGCCTTGGACTTTGGAGTGCGCGGGCAAAGGAAAAAGGAACAAGGAGGGGAGGAAGCGGGCGCGATCCTCGCGCGGGGCGCGCCGACACGGGCGTCGCGGCGCGCGGGCGCTGCCGTCGGGGATCCCAGGGAAGCCCCCTGCACAGGCTACGCCACACAATTCGGCACACCTTCATACGGTTCGCGGCCCCATAGGGAGTGCCACCGAAGAAGATGATATTCACAATTGCGGTACTCACAACTGCATATGGTTGGGTCCTTCGCCAGGATAATTTTGAAAAAAAGGGGGCGAAGTGCACGCGCGCGTCGTCGCGCGCGCATGCTGACGTCCACCAAAAACCGTCGGTTCCGTAAGGAGTTCAACACCTACTGCCCCAAAGCCATATATATATATGTATACACGCACGGCGTCGCAACAACAGCTTGTGAAACAAAATAAACATGCGCTCGCGCTTTTGCGAATTCTCGAGGAACAATGCATTGCGCAACATGTTCATTGAAGTCTGCCAACCGGGCACTCGCGCCGCATGCCGAAATCATTCGCACGCCTTTGCGCGCGTGCTGGGGCGGCACGAGCCGCGCCAAATGAGAATACCATGCGGGTCACTCACGCGGTTCGGCCGCGTACGCATGTCGAACTCCTTCCAAAAGCTTGATCACCGACGCGAGGACGCCGTCATCGTCGTCGTCGTGATCAGCATCGGCACCGTCATTGGCCGTGCCGTCACCGCTGTCATCATCGTCACAAGCATCGTTACTAGCATCATCGTGTTTACCGCCGTCGACGTTGCCATGATACCGCGCCCGCCCAAGTTGCCGACTGGTACTGACATGCCCGCTGGAATGTGCTCAGCGATCAGCGCCACCGCGGCCGTGTCGGTCGCGCCATACTCGCTGGGCGTTGCGCGCGCGAGCATGCGCGGGCAAACGCGGCCGCAAAGATGCACCAGCCAACACCAAGCACTCATCGCAATCGCCGCCGCATGGGTCTTGCAAACCAAGCTGCGGGTGGGTGGGTGGGATGCTTGCGCGAGCAGTGGAGTTGACAACTCACTGCGACCAGAATGATAGCACCACAAATATTGCACAACATATAACCATTGTACAACATAAATTGCACAACAAAGGTAGCACCACATAGATTGCTCCACAAAGACTGTACCACATATATTTCTAGAAAAACACTGTTTGGCTTCAACGCTGGCTAACACGACAGTTTTGGGCCTCCAGGGGACCTCGCCGGGCCACGGGAAGGTCAATTATCCTGGCGAATGACCCAACCATACGCAAGTGTGAAAACCGCAGGGCAGGTGGGACGAAGCAAAGGGAATTCTAGACGCTTCGCGTATCCCCACCAGCCCTGGGACTCTGTGACCTTGAAGGACTTGCTGCCGTGGGTATACGGCAGCGTCGTCCTCTACGTGCGCTCTCCTCTTACCTGGCGTTGCGTGGGTTGCGAAGCGCTGGTTGTCACTTAGTCGGTTGGTACACGCCCACTCCCGATTGACCGCGCGTCCCTCGCCAGGTTGGGTGCATGCGTACTTCTGCACAGCGGCACACCATATTTCTGGTCTCCTGCGTGCAGGCGCATCCCTCAGCAGTTGTTCCGAGGTTCCCCCAGTTGTCTATGACCTCTGGCTCACTCTGTCAGCCGTCGGGTGCGCTTTCTGCTGCGACGGTTCGCTGGCGCTGTCAGAAATTCTCCTCCTTGCTGAACGACGTCAGCTACGCTTTCGGGTCGCTCATACCCGACAGGTACCCTGGGCTGACACCTTCTTGCACGGAGACTGGTTCCCATTACCATGCGCTTGTCGGCTTGTCACGACCCATGGCTGGGAATGTGCGGGGCGCCATTTTGGCCGCGTCCGCTTTGCTTCCTGGGTGACTGACCCTGCAGACTCCCTGGGTTACAGCTTGCACGACCGCCTGGCCTCTCAGACGCCCTGGGTTGCTGCTTGCACCGCCGCCTGATCCGCGGCCCCCGCGCGCGCCCGGGTAATTCGTCACGGCCGCAGCCCGACCGTGACCCCTCGCCGCCGGCGCTTCCGCCTGCGGCTGTAAAAAGAAAAAATCCCCACCGGCCCTTCCAGAAACGACGCCCAGGCGAGTAGAGGGTCGTCCTGAGCGGCTTTTCGGCGTCTTGGGTGCCTGGGGGGGGCCTCTTTGGGCCGTTTGGGATCCTCTTGGGGGCCTCCTGGGGGCCTCTTGGGGCCATCTTGGGGCCATCTTGGGGCCTCTTGGTGCCTCCTGGGCGCTTCTTGGGGCCATCTTGGAGGAAATCGATCAAAGAAGAGGGGAGCTTTAATTAGCGCTGCCCCCTCAGAAGGCCAAAATGGGGCCAAAACCTCAGTAAAATCAATGATTCTGGCTTCAAAGAAGAGGGGAGCTTTAATTAGCGCTGCCCCCTCAGAAGGCCAAAATGGGGCCAAAACCTTAGTAAAATCAATGATTCTGGCTTCAAAGAAGAGGGGAGCCTTAAGTAGCGTTGCCCCCTCAGAAGGCCAAAATGGGGCCAAAACCTTAGTAAAATCAATGATTTTGGTTTCCTCGGCGAGGCCGTTTTGGACGCTCTGACCGCTCCCCGCCCCTCCTGTCCAGGTCAGTGGGGAGGGGGTTGGGGGAGG